TCAGTCGATATCCTTTAAAATGTGATTAGAATTGTCTGAGCTGGACTTGTGTCCACCAAACGCATTTACAGCGCTGAGAGCGCTCAAAAACTCATTTTCCGAGTGCCCAGCGGTGTTAAAAGTTGAACAGATTTCAACTTGAAGCGCTCTGAGCGCTGCGCTAAAAAAAACCCATCTCCGCTGACATCTTAGCGCTCTGAACGCTGAAGCCCATAGGACCCACGTCTCGGCACTAAATCATCTGAAGTACCGGTAGCTTCAGGGACTGGAGTTGCTTGCATTTTCTCTCTACCATCGCAACGCGCTGCTAAACTGTTGCAAGGAGGATGCTAGCGAGAGGTCACGTGATCATGTCATGTGATCACGTAGGCCCACTAGTTGTGTGACTGAATCCTGCCATGCTGTAGAGAGCGCTGCTGCACCGTGTATTAATGGATGTGAGGAGTTTCCGCGGGCGTTTCATTGTTTTTGTCGAAGTAATTTAAATACTCGATAATGGAAATTTGCACATCGTCAAAACAACAATGACGATATTATCGCAAACGATATATATCGCCCACCTCTAGATGCTGGCTCTTCAAAGAAACTCAAAATGAAAAACTAATATATGATTGCCAGCTGCTTTGCAGTAATTGTAAGATGAATAAGGTCATGACTCAACTATAGTGGAAGTCAACCAGCAGAAAAAGACACACAGAGTGACTTAGTCGACCATAGAGGGACATTTATAACCTGCCACAAGAAGTCAAAGAAACACCTTGAAAGAAAAATGTCACACCAAAATTGAGATTGAACACTGGAAATGTGCATATTAAAGATGTAAAGTGACCTTTCATTTCTCAAGACTGTTGAAAACATTTCTTAGAGAAGTGGTCCCAATCAGGGCATGGTAGGGCTATTTAAGTGGTAATTAAGCCAGTCAATAGGGCCTAATAGTAATACCACTGATTTCACCAAATTGAAAGGATTCTGAGAGATACTTTATCTTAGTTCAACAGTTATTTTTATTATTTCCACAGTGGATACAGTCACATCCCAGAACCACAGTATGCTATTGAAATGCGGGACAGAGTTTTGTCCCCTAAGGATATTCTGCATCTGTGTAGCTCAACAACTTGACTTTGCTGTGACATGTCTGCAAGCCTGAATCTGTGGAATTTTGGGAGGAAAAAGGGCAATTATGTGCTTTTAGGCTTTAGTCTACATTTAGGTTGGGTAGCTGTGGGAAAGTATGAGACAAATAGGATCTAGAGATGCAGCTCTTCAAAGAGTTTGAGCCTCAAATTATGGATCCAGTGACTGAATGTTTGAGTATTGTTTTATGTCTCCAACGGTGTACCAGATGTGAGTGAAACCAGACAGTATGAGGATGAGTAAAGATCCAAACCTTCCAGTCACGTCTACGTGGTGTTTTGTATGCCAACAGGAAAGCCCACAAAATAACATCTTCGACTTCATATTGCTCTTTCTTACATGACTAAAAATGTGGTAAATGCTTGGTTATTACTTGACTGGCCAAATGCTAAAAACAACAGCATTGGGAACAGAAAGGCAGGATGAGAAGCTTAATCCTTTGTGGCTGTGCATACAATGGACCAGATTGGCTCTGAAGCTAATGGTGCTTGAATGGGTGATTGATGCGCACTTCCTGGTCCCATTGAGACTGTGACAAATGCCTCAAGAGTCCCCAGAGAAGATCAGCTACACCGGCACAGCTTGTGACACTGTCTGATGGGGCTCAGCTAATTCAACACGGCTAATTCAGAGAGGAGAATAGGTTTAATTTCACAGACCGCTGATATTACAGGCAACTAAGAGCAAAGGCTGCCAGAGTAAAAAGCATCTCCATAGCAATACATGCAATACATCTTTGCAACTCAAGATGGTTCATGTATAATAAAGAGGGAGATAAAGACATTCAAGCAGACTGTAGGCAGAGGCAAGATAAGCTCTAAGTATAGGGGAGGAAGGTGAAGAGGCGGATGTGAAGTAGATGCTAAAGAGATTAGCTTTTAGCAGGATGTGCAGGGAGTGCTTCTCATATCCTATTAGTTTGTCTCCACATGAATCAGATGTGATGTCATGGCAGCAACAAAAGTGATCAATCCTGATTTTAACTAAAAGATCTTTGACACCTACCCTCTGTGGATCTGGTTGAAATGAAATGCTGCGTTTGGTTGGGGTTGGTTGGGTTTGTTTGGACTGGCATGAAAGCTGTCAATCACACTAAAGTTAATGCTAGCTATGAAAAGCTAACAAAGAGCTAAACGGCTATTACAGCCATCTGTTGGCCATGTGTTATCAAGAAAGCTGCCTGGAATAAGCGATGTACATTTCTTGCAGCATTTGGTAACCATGGTAACACATAAGAAGAATGAGGGCGGGCATTTCCCTTGATCGATCAAAGTGAAAGTATTTAGAACAGACGTGTGTTGACCCTGTATCCGTCCCCCTTTGTTTCAGCTGTTTCTTATTAAAAAGTGAGTGTGTATAGAGGCTGCACAGTAACCTTCCTCTGACTGCATATTATGGTAAACGACTCTTTTTTGCACTATTTTACTTGTTCTTCATCATTCATGAAATAAGGCCGAGCTCTCTACTAATGAGACTCATAATCAGCTCATTGTGAAGATGAATAAAAAGCTGAAGTTTAGTTGAGTGCTGCATGACCTGCTATCAGTCATTAGAATTTGATTTACCCATGAGGCTCCATATGGCACTGATGATGCAGGATGACATCACCAAAACTGTCCAATTAATGAGCGAGCTGTCGGCCTGTATGACTTCATGTTTACAGCTCTTAGACCAGAACTAAAAGGCAGCAGGTCCTGACCAAATGAACCAAACTGCAGGGATAAAAGAGAGCACATTAGGATGCATGCAGCGATTGCATCAGATGTTTTTGACAATGCACCTATTCTAGCATGCCGCCCATATCCCACACAAATATGAACCGGCAGTGCCTACACTTCTGTCTACGGCTTTTTTGAAACAATCCTTGCAGAATTTGCCTTCTCAAACTGAGGCTTCTGAATTGTGGCAGATATTTGTTTCTCTGTTCTTCATACTAAAGCTGAATCCACAAGCTGCTGTCTCAGATGCATTATGTATGATTTATGTACTTTTTTTTAAGGGAAAAGTTATAAATTCTATTTTCAACATTCAAATAGATACTGTGTGATACATTATCTTCATACCATGGGATGTAATTGTGTACTACTTACATTCTTAAGGACTCCTAAAAAGCAACATTTTAAATTAAGGGTTAAAGCAATACTGTGTTGCTGTCAGCTGCAGGAATATCATAAAACTCAAGTGACCTATGTGTGATCACATCTTCCTGTAGTCTAAAAGTCTTGGCTGGCCTGTGATACAGTAGTTAGTGTTGACCCAGCGCCAAGTGTTCTCCAGAGGATAAGCCACACTTCTACATTTACAGTATCAAAGCATGGATCAATGGACCAGTCGCCTCCATTCTGCTGAAGCATGGAAAACCATCACTGGTAAACAGAGGCGTGTGTGAGATTGCTAGTGTGTATCTAAGGAGGAAGTGCTCTTGAAGAATGAGTGTTAATGTTGACCTAATTCATCACTGTTTGCCTACTACTGACAGTTAATATTCATCTTTTCCAGGAAGTTCATGTTATTTCATCTGTCACAATGGAGCTGAGCATGCAGGTGAGAAGTGAAGCACTGCATCTGTAAGAGTGAACTGAAGTTAAAAAAAATAATTTTGTTCGATTAAAGCTACACCTGCCGTCACTATACTCTCTCTCTCTGGGTCTTTCTGAAACCAGTCTGAGGGATAGTCTTTCTCTCTAAAACAGAGAAGAAGCTTGTAGGCTTTCCAAAGAGAAAACACAGAAAACAAATAACTTGGCAGAACCAGCGTGACTTTATTAAGGTATTCCAAGCCACTTGAAGAGAAGCTGCAGCATTAACGTGACATTAATGGTAATACCACCCACTGGCAAAGGAGAGAAAGTGCTGTCACTAACCATGGAAACAGTACCAAACTTCAATTCATTCATTAGTCATTTAATGGGCTTTAAAGCACAGCCACTAGAAACCCACAAAGGGAAAAGCAATCAGTGTCCTAGTCAGGCCTCATTCGAATTTGGCACAGGGGTTTCACACAGTCATGCGTTCCATCATTTAATAGATGAATTCTGGATGAACTTGTTTTTTTTTCATCTACATGTAACTGAAAAGGGCAATGAGTGCAAAGCTGTGTTCCTCCATCAATAGACAGGATAGTCACTCCTCTTACTTAGTTATACCACTATTTCTCTAAAACGGATGAACTGTGTTGTGATACAGAGAAATGAACAAACACACATAGAGATAATGTATCTCCAGTGTCTAAAAGTGAATGTACACTACCGTCAATGGCATTAGTAACTCAGGAATAACTAGTCCTACTGGGATGTATAATGTGTATGTAGTAGCCAGGTTACTATGTTTGAATAAAGATTTATTTTGTCTGTCTGTTTTGCGTGGGTTATTTTGTTCCCATTTCATCCTCATTCCTCCACACACTCACTGGATGAACTCCTCACTCACTCTTCCGACAGTACAACTAGTCCTGATTGGGAATAATTCCAATGCTTCCTGAACTTTGTAATGGACAACCTAACAGATACACAAGAAGGAAGAAAGCTGGCCTATTTGCCTAACACTTTTTTATATTACTGTAGAAAATTCTGATCTGCCATGATGAAAGTAGGATCTCCTTAGAAATAATAATGAAAAGTTTCCCCTTCCACTCTCCCCACAGGGGGGCCCATGGGGGTCCCCACTGGCTCTGGTTCTAGGGGCAGCCACTGGCTTTTCCTGCCCACTCTCCCTCTTTCTCTGAGCCCGTAAAAAGCGCCATGTTGAGGCGCCAGTGTGGATGCAGCGTGCAGCTCCGCGCACACACACACACACACACACACACAGCGAAACGTTTCAGAAAGCACACCGAGGCAGGGCTGTGCGAGTGGGTGGGGGGAGCTTACCTTTGCGATCGCCTTCTTATACCTCAGGGCCGCTTGTTCGATAAGGTAAAAGACTTTTACATTCCCATCTCCGCACGGAACGACCACCCGGGTCCTCCCGAAACACACCGTCACTTTCATTTCTCCTCCGCCGCGTTAATTCCAAAGAGGAAAGAGCCGCGTCAAAAAGACAAAAAACATCCCCGCTGCGCGAAGGCTAAACGATAAATCCCCGGTCTTTGAGAAGAGGTCGAAAGTGAAGTTGTCTCTTGTGTCCTGCGTCCTCGGGAGGGCAAGAAAGAAGCCCAGCATTTGGATCCAGCGGCGGGGCTGGGTGGCGTCCTCCCTGTGCCGTGTTGACTCACTCACAGAAAGTTCCCAACAGAAAGCCTCTCCAGCAGCGGGAGCGCACCACTGGACTGACACTGCGCCCACATGTCAGAGCAGGCACTAAGAATGTTTCCTCACGCCAACCAATACAATCGTGTGTGTCTCTGACGGCGAACCCGTCGAGATTCACTCACTTATCATCAGAAGTTGCGTAACACTAAGTAATGTGTTTTTCGGTGTAGAGTCGCGGTCTACACTGTGTGTGGTGTAATGGAAAACTTATCAAATACAGATTGTTGTTGGTTGTCTATTGACATGGTGTCTGAAAGACATTAGGACTGGAGCAATAAATCTTAAAGCACATTATTATTTTATAATCTAGATTCCAGAGACTGGGATTTCCAGGGATTGTGAATAGGGGGATAGGGCCAGATCAACCTGCAAGAGGGTCCCTGGGCTAAAGTGAGCCATGCGACCCATCGAGTCCCGCCCCACCACACAGGTTACCCCACCCCATTTTGCTTACACTAGAGGATTACTCTACTTGTATGACAGTTAGTGCTACTTTGTTTAATCACCCTGAGGGTCTGGGTCCTGAGGCAGTTGCCCACATTGTCCAGATGGTAATCCAGCCTAACCTGGGGCAGTTTCTGAAGAATACTGTAAATTCACACTTGTTTTACTCCCTAGTGGTACACACAGTAATAGCACATCCTGGTACAAAGCATGTCAAACACAGATCTCCATCTACCTTATATACAAACACTTTATGTGAAATTCCTCTGGAGACAACATCTTATCAGATGGAGATCTGTGAGCTTGGGAGTCATGGTTAGGTAAGTCTGGCAAACCCTGATCCAGGCTCAGGTTAAGTGCTGCAGGTCTATTGCAACAAGTGTTACGCATGTTAACACACTTGGATTTGATTTATGTGTGACTGCCTGGTGATTCAGAACATGGTACACATAAACAGACGTTCAATTTCAACCCGACTGCATGAGTCAGACTGAAGGAGATGAGGCAGGATGTTCTAGGATGGAGCTGCTGAGAACACACCAAAAGTCGGATCCGTGCTTGATTGAGCTGCGCTTACGTCACTGACAGCAAAGCATATATTAATGTTACATATGAGAATAAATTATTGAACTCCAGTGCAAAATGAGAAATCAGCCTGAGGATGAATCTACAGTATGACCCAATTTACTGATAAAAGCTGCAACCTTTCTGTGGAGCTCCACTCCCTGAAGCCCTTATTCTTTATCATCTAATGTCGTCCAAATGAGTGAACATGAACACGAGTGCAAGATGGACAACATCTTTTCCAAACTACTATGTCCCTGCATGATATAAGGTTAAAGCACTGCCCAAATATGTGTCTTACTATTCCTTCTCTTTAGACATCAGGGAAGTCTGCAGTCCCTCTGACGTGCAAGTTAATCAGCCAACAAGTGACCTTGTGGCGCAATGGTAGCGCGTCTGACTCCAGATCAGAAGGTTGCGTGTTCAAATCACGTCAGGGTCAGCTTACAGAAGTTCACTGATACATTACCTTATAGAGACCTTAGTGGAAAACTGGGTGTTTCTCATCATAGTTAATGTTGTCTTCATTCACAACATCTCTAACACAACTAATGCTCCCCCCAGAGGAAACTAAAGGTAAAACACTTCCCAAAAGATTGAACTAAGACTGTCAGATGAATTTACCTTGGCTTTGCAGACATAACCAAACTCAGCTCTACCTATAATTATGAGCTCTGTGTGTTTATTAACTGAGAACCAACCGAAACATGTTTACATACATCCTCACAGTGTTTTTATTTATTTGACATGCCTCTCAATTGTTCTGTTTTATTTCCTGCAATAAACCAGGTCACTTATTTACTTATATACCTGCCATGGTAGGATGAGTCCTGAGCCTGGACCGCAGTTTGTCCGCTGCACGCAAGGAATGCTGGGAGGAGGAGCGAGATAGTGGTGGAAATGTATGGTGCACTAAAGTAGGGGAGAACGAGATTACAGCTCAGGTTAAAAGTGTAGCCCAGGCCACTGTTCTGTTAAGGAAATTACAATTAGATTTTAAAAAATGCTTATCTAACAAATAACACAATGAGAAATATGACACAATGCTGCTGGGTGGAGGACATAAGATGAGTGTGGCTGTTTCTTCAGACCTGGAGAACATTGATGTTCGGCATGCTTTATCCAGCTAGACGTCTTCCACCCAAATATTTACACATAAAGAGGTCTAAACCTGAGAGAATGTTTACTCCTGTGTATACACAGCGCAACAAAATGTTCCTTTTTACTGAAGCTGGGAAAATTATTCATCCACACGTTTACAGGCTTGTCCTGTTTGGAGAGCAGTGTAGCGGTACAAAAGGGACATGGTAAACAAAGTGCGTATCTGCATCTCAGTGCGTGTGTGTGTGTGCGTGTGTTGTAGCTGACAGCGAGGTGTTACTTTCATGTCAGACGTGCTCCAACATGGTCCCAGGAGAGGAGGAGGTCATTCCTGACACTTCTCTCTGTCATCACAGACTTACCTCACTGCTGCAGAATTCAGCACTCACACACCAATGCCTTCCTATAGAATCATTCATACACGTGTCATTTACTACATCCTTCCTCTACCTCCACCACAAGCCTTCAAATACCACATTTCCTTATACCTCTTCAACCTTTTATTGGTAAAACGTATTATTTGTGACAGTGTGGACTTGGCTTACAGCTGAGGGGAAGATATCTTTTACAAGAAAAGATTCTCATTCAATTTGTATCATAGAGTCTAACATTGACAAAGTGAGGAATCATGATTTATTGTCACATGCCACCTTTGTTGTTTCCCCAATACATCTTGCATGTGATGCAAAAACTTGCATGTCAAAGGCACATTTTAGCTGGGGCTTCGAAGCCCTCTAATAATAGTCCTAATAATAGTATCAAGTCATCATTATAGCCTGAAAATCAGTCTTACACTTCACTCTAATCATCCTTTATTAAGGGCAGGTAGTTAGTCACATACATTAAAGGTGCAGTAGGTAACTTATAAAAAAGACAGTTTTATTAAATCAAAATTATGTTATATTTCATCCATACAACAGATGACAATGAGACAATTTGGTAAAAGAGTTAGAACAGATGCCTAAGCTACAAATTGTCCTTTACGAATTATGAATGAGAGAAAAACAGACTTTATCAAGTTCATCCCACTTTAATATAAGGATGACATTATCTAATGTTTGCTTTGACCCTGATGTGAATTTGAACACACAACCTTCTGATCTGGAGTCAGATGCGCTGACGTTTCACCACAAGGTCAATCTTCTTTAAAAAAAAAAAAAAGCTGCAGTAGGTAATTTTTATGAAAATTGTTGTATTACATTCACTATATCCTTACAGTACATGAGACAGATAATCTGTAAAAATCAGGTTCCTCTGGCTCGTTCTAGTGCTCCTAATGGCATTTGCTAGAATCCATGGGGCCTAAATTGAAACAGGGGTGTAAGAGTATGTCAAATGTGACCACACACATAGTATGTTTTATATTTTGTAAGTGTTTGACCCTGACGTGATTTGAACACGCAGCCTTCTGATCTGGAGTCAGACGCGCTACCGTTGCGCCACAAGGTCACTTTTTTCTCCACACAAAACAAATTTAAAGCTGCAGTAGGTCATTTTAACGAAAATTGTTGTATCATATTTGCTACAACTTTGAATATATTCTGACAGTACTACATGAGACAGATAGTCTGTGTAAAAATCTGGTTCCTCTGGCTCGTTCTAGTGCTCCTAATGGCATTTGCAAGAATCCACGGGGCCTGAACTGAAAAAGGGATGTAACAGCATGATAAATGTGACCACACATACGATATGTTTTATATTTTTATTTTATTTTTATTTAACCTTTATTTAACCAGGAAAAGTCCCATTGAGTTACAGTAACTCTTCTCCCAGGGAGTCCTGGCCAAGACTGGCGGCAAAAAGTTTAAAAAAAAAAAAAGACAGAAAAGACAAGACAAAGGTTACATACTACACCACAAATCTCTGTACATACACTATACATACAAGAACACAAACAAGAAATTACACTTAACGCAACCTAACACAGACATACAACTTAAAGGGCACCTAATTAAAAACAATTACACTATTCTTTCAAAGTTGACTTTAAAAGGTTTTTAAAAGTATAGAGAGGTGGAAGTGATTCTAGATTTAGGGTGTTTTGAAATTCATTCCAGACATTTGGTGCATATGATGAGAAAGCTGTTTTACCAAGTTCTGTTCTTGTTGATGGAATAACTAATAGTATTTTTTCTGACGACCTTGTCCTGTAAACACTATTATGGTAAGAAAGCAAATTTGAAATGTAGAGGGGTAATTTACCCATTAGAGCTTTAGCAATGAAAATCAATAAATAGAATTTCCTTCTGAGGGAGAGGGAGGACCATTGTACAGTTTCATACAGAATGCAGTGGTGAGTCCTGGCTGCTGCACCTGTAATGAAACGCAAGGCTGAGTGGTATAATACATCTAGTTTTTTTAATAAAGATGAAGAAGAGTGCATTTAAATTAGGTCACCATAATCCAACACTGATAAGAATGTGCTCTGCACCAACCTTTTCCTTGCTGTATACGGAAAGCACTTCTTTAATCTAAAGTAAAAACCTAACTTGGGTCTGAGTTTTTTTAAAAGGCTCTCAATATGGACCCCAAAAGACAATTTCTCATCCAACCAAATACCTAGGTATTTGTAAGAAGTTACTGTCTCTATTGGAGTACCAGTTTGTGTCGAAATAGTGAAATCTATAGGAGAACGTGAACGTGTAAAAACCATTGATTTTGTTTTTTTAGCATTTAATACCAATTTTAATCCTACCAGAGATTTTTGTATCTGACTAAAGGCAGACTGTAAATGATGAAATGCTTCTTTCAATGACTTAGCAGGGGTGTACAAAATAGTATCATCTGCATAAAAATGAGCCTTTGTTTGATTCAGATTCATACCTAAATTATTTATATAAATAGAAAATAAAATAGGACCCAAGACTGATCCTTGGGGGACACCCATTTTTACTTCTAGCAAGAATGAGGTACAGTTATCTAATGCCACACACTGAGTTCTATCACTCAGGTAATTAGAAAACCA